CAGATCACCATCACCTTATAGGGATGAGGTCAGCAGTTTACACAGTGCTGCAGATCACCATCACCTTACAGGGATGAGGCCAGCAGTTTACACAGTGCTGCAGATCACTATCACCTTAGAAAAATGATTGGTGGTCAAGAGACAGTAAACTAGATTTTGAGACATCAGATCTTTTCAACTGTGAATGTCAACAGCCTGTTCTAACAGCTTTCCCGAGGCTTGTTACCTGGCCTCTCTGTTAATCACCTAAAGCTCTACAAACCATCATCTCAAATACACTGGGGGAGGGTCCTATGGAGGGAAGAAGTATCAGTTAAAACCACTTTCCTGGATTTGTGTGCTAAAACTGGCATTCTCTTCTTAGCCCATGGCCAGTCTAAGTTCACATTCAGTGAGGGTTCCAGTTTGGATCTGTGTGGAATGCTTGCTCCCTCGGACAGCAGTGTTCAGAGATAGGTCGATGACAGGTGACTAGATGGTTAGGGCTCTTGCCTCACTGGTGGGTGAATCCATTGTTGAGTTTGTGGCTCAGTGGGCTGTTGAACGGTGAGGCCTGGTTGGAGGAAGTGGGTCGCTGCGGGCGTGACTTGACGGGTGTACTTGGCTCAGACCCATCTCTCGCTGCTTTGTGGTTGTCAGGAGGTATGAGGTAAGCAACTATGCCCTGTCACATGCTTCTTACCAGTGTTCAGAGTCAGGGACAGTAGGGCCATGTGACCGTGGACTGAAATCTCAAAGGGGTGAGCCTAAACAAGCCTCCTCTTTACGTTGTTTTTCTCGGGTCTTCCGATGCAGTGAAGGAAAGCTGAACAACGTGGTAAGAATTTAGGATTTCTAGACAGGAAAAGTAAGCAGTGGTAGGATTACCTTATCTTCTGTGTGTGTGGGGGGGGACCGAAGCGGGGCACAAGGGAAAGGGGTTATGGGGTCCTACAGAATGGCATTAGGCAGTGGAATCATGCCATCGGGCTGGCTCACTGAGCGGGAGAGGGTCTTAGGTCCGCCACCCACCCCTTCACTGAGAACAGCTTGTAGGCTCACAGCTGTGATGCAGCCACCACCCGGGTTGGCCTGAATCTGAGAGCCAAAGCCTTGCCTTCTGAATGCCAATGCCAGCAGCTGAGTTTTGCTGATGGCAGTGAAATCTGCTCCTGGGACACCTTCCTGTTCTCATCAGATCAGGACCAGAGGGCAGGGAAGATATGCCAGGGCCTGATGTGCACACTTAGGGGGAGTCATAGAAGGCGACTCAAACTGAGTTTGAGCCCCGAGAGGAGGGTACACCTTCGCGAACCTAACTCTACTTCTGATCAGTGACATAGTTTGAAAAGTCACCAATGCCCTGGGCCTCTCCTCCCCACTTCTGAAAGAAGAAGTTGGAGACAAAGCTCCAGCAGGTTAGAAGCCTCTTCACAGTGAGAACCAGCATGCGGTGTTTGAAAACTGAACCCTGGCTGTGCACGAGAAGGGTTAAGTTCCTGTGTGTGTGTGTGTGTGTGTGTGTGTGTGTGTGTGTGTGTGTCACAGGGCTGCGGCCCCAGAGACTGATCTGATGGGCCGTGTGTGCTCTTGGCACAGGAGTACATGGGAAATGAAGGGCAGGGTGCCCGAGGGGAACCTCAGAGGAAAAGCCCACAGCAGTAGGAGACACAGTCTCTGCCTCTTCCCCTGCTTGGAGGCTGCTCCAGGCAACAGAACAGGAACTCTTTAGAAACTATATCACAAAAATTAAAACTGACTAGAGAGATCAGCTGGGCAGCACATCCCTGAACCAGCACAGCCCACAGTTTCTTCCCTCTGCTCTGCCAAGAGCTCGCCTCCAGACAAGAGGGCCACCCTCAGCACCGCGGCTGCAGGGGGATGTTCCATGTGTGCTCGGGAGCTGACTGGAAGTTACTGCCCTGTGATAAAGGCTGAAGACAGGATCGTGGCTCCTATTCCCCTTTCCTTTCAGAACTGCACTTTTACTTTAAGGGGTCCTGCCTTGCTTATCCAGTGCCGGGGTCATAGTCAGGGGATGAATTCCGTGGTTGGGAGCTGGCTACAAGAAAACCTGGTCTGTAACTGGAGTCAGATGAGTCTCTCCAGTGGTTGATGTGGAGTACAGGTCAGCAAGCAAGTGGTACTGGGCCCAGTGACACAGTCACTGGACAGGGCATATTTAAAAGACACTATCCCCATTCCCCTCCCTTCTGTATATGTACCAGCAACCTGAGGATCTGCCTAATTAACAGGCACACAGAGCTGATTCTTGGGAACATGTAAGCCAGAGAAACACAGCTGAAGAAAAAAAAAAAATGTCTGGGGCCAGGAGTTGGTAGGAAGAGTGAGTGAGCATCGATATACATTTGCAAAACACTTCTGAATAAATCCCGGTGTCCTCCACTGTCCAACTGGGAAATTGGGTTTGTTGAAGATATCAAATGGATTCTTTTCTGTCTTGCAGCTCTGAATAAAATGCAATTCGCTGTATTGGAGGGGTCATGTTAAGTCTGAGAGATTATATGGTATACCCAATGGGCACAGTATGGACAGCTATTGATTGGAACTGTGCGTGTGTGCGTGTGCATGTGTGTGGGCGGGGGGGACATGCCGAGGGCAGAGAACAGCCTTGCCTTCCATCTTATTTGAGACAGGGTCTCCTGTTGTTTTCCAGCTGACCAGTGAGTGTCTAGGGACTCTCCTGTCTCCACTTCTCATTTTGCCTTGGAAGCACTGAGATTACAAACTGCACTACCATACCTGGCTGTAAGTGGGTTCTGGGGATTCAAACTCAGGTCCTTGTGAATGTGTGCTAAGAGCCTTCCTCATTAAGCCATCTCCTTAAGTCATCCTAACGTGTGAAGGATATAGACAGAAATGCACCACTGTAGGCTCTGACTCTAGGACATTGTTAGGCCCATCAGAAACTGAATTGGCCACCTATTGTCTCTCATCTTCTCATCTTTCATGGATTCTCTCTCTGCTACCTTTGTGTACATGAAGTCATATAATCCCTTAGATAAAATTTTTAGTTCAAAAGAGAAGTTTTATCAGGTCTCGCTGATATTTGCCGCATTGACAATTCAATGACTTGACTTGAAAATAATACTAACTCCTTGTCTAGTAGAAGTTTCATTAGGATCTGGAAAGTTTTCTTTTTCTTTCTTCCTTTCTTTCCTCTTCTTCCTCCTCCTCTTCCTCCTCCTCCTCTTCTTTAATGACATACTACAGTTCCTTCAAAAAGGCTACCATGAGTGTGTCAACAGTGTTTATATGCAGACATCTGCCAGTCTCTTGAGGAAAATGAGTAGCTGACACACTAAACACAAGACAAGAGAAATGTTTACCAAATCCAGTAGTGGCATCATACTGGAACAGTGGAGTCTTAACACTTCCCATGTCTGTTGTGCAGGTGACCTGGAAGAAGAAAGCTAGACAGAAAGAAAGAACTGGTAAATCTTTAGTCCTTCAACACCAGCTAACAGGGGCATCGTCTTGAGAGAGCAAAGAAAATGCCACTCCAGAACGAACCGAGTGTTAATGTTACAGGTGATGATCAGTTCTAACTGTGGGGGATGGTCACGATGGTGTTCATTGATGTGGGAAGACCCATCCTGAAAGTGGGTGGTGCCGTTTCCATTTCCTGGTTCTGGGTTCTGGACCCAGAGTAGAGGAAGCTGCTGAGTGCCCCACACATACATCCATTCTCTCTGCTCTTGACTGTGGCTGAAATGTGACCAGCTACTTCAGGTTCCTGCTGCCTTGATCTCTCCTCAGGGATGGACTGGAACTGGAACCATGCGCTAACATAAACTCTCTCCCCACTTAACTCCCTTTTGGTCAGGGTAGTTTTTGTTTTGAATCACAGCAACAGAAGTGAACCAGGGCACTATAGTTCAGATGCCAATGGTCCTGCAAAGGCCAACGGCATCTCAGTGGTAACTGTTTCCTGAGCAATGCTGCTGTGAGGGAGAGGGACCCGGAAGAGGCTCTGCCATGGCCTCTTGCCATGTGCTCTCACACCACAGGTCCAAAGCTGTGGACCAGCAGATAACAGGTGAGAACCATTTATGAACCAGAATAAATATCTTCTCTTTATAACTGTCTTAGGTATTTGTTATAGCAAGGAGAAGTTATCATCTAAGATGCAAATTTCTAATTGAAAGTCGATCAGCAAAGAGCCGCTGTGTAATGGCAGCGTGTGTATAAGGGTGGAGGGAAAGATCAGAGCTTCCCCCAGAGTGGCAAAGCAGCATCAAGTCAGAGGAGTCACGGACTATAAAGGAGGCAGTCTTGCTCTGCATTTGGTCTACGCCTTTTCCTGGACAGGGGGGCTCAGAAGGAAACTTGGGAATCACATGATCCAAATTCCTGTTTCAGTTGCCAGGACCCTGTGCCTCTTTCAAGGTCACACAGATGGTCTGAGGCTTGCTCAGGTAGAACCCAGATCCGCCAACTGTCAGGCCATCTTCCCTCTGTAGCAAGCTGCCCAGGTGGCCAGGAGCTGTGGCAGTGTGCGTGGCTCACTCAGGGTGAAACTTGGTGTCTATAAATGCAAATGGGAGTCGTCCTTCAGCTTAAACAGGCCCTTCAAGGACCCAAATACTCCTGGGTTGATTTACTATATAAATCCAATGTACTTTTCAAACCATTCTGTATCCACTGGCCCTGTGACCCTACAGGTTACCTGAAAATCTGAAGCACCTTGTGGAGCCTTTCTTATTTCAATTGAAAATCAAGACAAAGAAATAGGAGATGCTGCTGGAGAAGGGGGATGGGGTACAGTCCTAGAAGAAAGAGGAGGTTCTTGTAGGGACTGATCCTGTGAGGTCTGGGGAGCCCCTCACTCAGGGACTTAGGGCTGCAGATGGTCATTGGGTGTTCTGGAAACTTTTTTCTTTTCTTTTCTTTTCTTTTCCTTTCTTTTCTTTTTTTTTCTTTCTTTTTTTTTTTTTCTCAAGACAGGGTTTCTCTGTGTAGCTTTGCACCTTTCCTGGAACTCACTTGGTAGCCCAGGCTGGCCTCGAATTCACAGAGATCCGCCTGGCTCTGCCTCCCAAGTGCTGGGATTAAAGGCGTGTGCCACCACCGCCCGGTATCTGGTAACTTTTTTATTACTTTGACAAACATCATGACCAAAAGCAACCTGGGGAGGGAAGGGTCTATTTGGTTTATACTTCTAAGTTACACTCCATCACTGAGGGACATGAGAGCAGGAACTGAGGCAGAACTGGGGTAAAATATTGCTTGCTGGCTTGTTCCCTCTGGCTTGCTGAGCAGTCTTTCAGATACAGCTTGGGCCCCCATGCCTAGGGATGGCACCATCCACATGCTATTTGCCCCTACATCAAGAAAATCAAGCAACCAAGAAAATGCCTCACAGACATGCCTACAGGCCGAGCTGATGGAGGCAATTCTTGCAATGAGGTTCCCTCTTCCCAGATGACACTAGAGTGTGCCAAGTTGAAGGTGAAAACCATCATACTGATGGTGGTGCTGTTTGCAAGAGAGGCTACAAAAAGGAAACCCCTGAGTTCTCAGTGCGTTCACCGATCTAGCTTATTGCTGTTTGTCTTGTGAACTGAACCTGCCCACTGGCCTCCTTCCTTCCTGCAGCCCCTTAACTCGCTTGGAGACAACACTGGAAGTATCCAGTAACAAACAGGAAGGAGATACATATTTACTCTGGGCTGTAAGAGTTCTGCAACCAGGGGCCCCATAAACCAAGGAACGTGGATGACAAGCCTCCTTGGGTCACCTTTCTGGTTTAAGATAAAGCTGGGGACCATAGCACCTGACACAGAGCAGAAAGTCAGTTACTAACTTTTGTCTTCTGTCCTTGGTATGTAGACGGTGGTGTCCAGGCCACGGTACACCTGCTGTCCTCCGTCGGTGACCACGTACTCCTTTAACTGGCCATTCAGGAGGAAAGTGCCGCTCCAGTCTACACATACCGTGGATTCATTGCTGTTCACCGAGAACGGGACTTGGTACTGAGGCACTGTGGAGAGGAAAGCACAGCTCCTAGAGACGGGGACTTGTGGATGGATGCACAGGGAGCTTTTAGAAGAATGTGAACAACGGTAGATGAAATCAGCCAACCAACCAACCAAACAGAAACAACAATGCGTTGCTAGAAACCCATTAAAAATAATAAACTGATGTGAGAGGCAAGAAGACAGCCAATCAGAACACGTGTGAAATGCGCTCTCAGCTGCTTTGTGCTGGTTCCAAAAATCAATGGAGAGCGCTGTTTTATAAATAAAACTATTAACACACAATGGGTTTGCTTAGCAACATAACCTGGGGCTCATATTTTGCAGTATTTCCCCTTCTTTTAACGGATAAAGTGTCCTTAACACTATTAACTACAGTACATAGCTATTTTTCATATCAAATCAATATTTATTGCTATGAAGCCCCAAGGACTAGATGAAGTTAATTTTTTTTTCCACCAAACCAAACTGCTTAGATGCTGAATTATGTCCTTTTGGCACCCATTTATTTTTAAAGCTTTTTCTGGAACTGTTAGTTTGTTTTCTAAGATAGTTAAAAGGCCTTGCAAGCAGCAATCCAAGCATAATAATTCATTGCCCTGACTAATCAATCAATAGCCGAGTACATTAGTATATAATCAGACCCGGCTCTCCTAAGTATTATGTCAGCTCTAGAAGCAACTTGGTGTGCATTTAACAGGTGTGTTCTCTTCTCCCTTTTAAGTTCCTTGCTACAACAAAACAGGAAACCCTGACTGCAGCTCATCTTCAATGTAAACTTGTTGAAGAAACAAATGGAGTCATTAATGTATCACCTTTCAGGGTGGGAGAGATCTCCTTCAGGAGACCTTGTTTTCTCCAAAATAATCAAGATATTTCTAAAGCATTAAGATTCACATATATCCTGCTGGCTGTTAGGAGAGGAAGGGTGTGGATACATTGGCTACATTACCGATGAGAGGCATTATAACAAAGTAAGCGGTAATTGCATTTTGTAATATATGGTTTGGATTCTAAAGACACAGTGTTGCAGGGTATATGGTTACACTGTGAACCCCAAGTGTGCATTTGAGTTAATTAAATAAAATCAACCCTTGGGTCAAGAGGCAGATCCAGCAACTAGTTGACAGAATGTAATCATAGAGAGTCGGAGGGAGTCCAGTAAACAGAGACACGCACAGGAAGTAAAGGGAGGGACTTTGAGTGTGGCAATGCTTTCTGGTTTGGAGTGATAGAAGATATACTCTCTTTCTGAGATGCCAGCAAAGAGGGAAGGTCAGCTAGTTGCTCCTCAACCTCTCTGAACTAGCAGGTTTTCACCCCAGCCTCTGACTCCCGAGTCTTTATTGGTAAACAGAATGATAGAGATTTAGTGAAAAACTGCATTTGGTGGCAGCGGCAGGAGGCAGATCTGGTCAGATGTAGAAGTCCCATGGGGCCCCTGCCTGAGAAGTGGGTAGTTACTGGCTGAAACAGCAGTAGATTGAGGTGCAGCCACTGTGCCATCAGAAAAACAAAACAAAACAAAACAAAAAACATTTTGGTGCCCCGTGTGGGCCTGTCAGTCAAGTTAGCCATGACTAGGAATTAAACTCTCTGAACTTGATTACATTTACAGGGCAATAGATGCTAAAATTCTTGGCATTTTTCTTATGATATTTTACGGTTGTCCATCCACCTAGGGTTCTTTGTCCTATTGTAGCAGAATGATAGATTTATGTAATGATCATCCCCTCCCATCCCCTCTCATCTGTGTGTTGAGTGCTGCCAGGCTGTCACTTGGAACCGGCAGTGGCGGGAGCACGGGCACCGGCGGCGGGAGCGCGGGCACCGGCGGCGGGAGCGTGGACACCGGCGGCGGGAGCACGGGCACCGGCGGTGGGAGCGCGGACGACACCATGGGAGCAGTGGGCAAGCACATTTTTCTCTGGGCAGGACTGGCTGTTGTTCATCTGCACCATTCTGCTCTCTACTGGAGGGCGGTCCAGGCAGAGGCTGGATGTGCTCCCCAAGCCCTTGGGTGAGCATGAATGTGCTCTTATCCCTACACAAGTGCCCACACTATTTAAAATTATAGTCTAGTTTGGACTCTCTGGTCCATGTTTTCTTCCAATGTACATGATGAGTTATAGGTAGCACATTAGAGTTTAGAGAGCCACATTTTAGTCATCTCTTGCATGTTTTCGTATCAATGGACTCAGTATTGAATTGAGAGGACCTCTCTTCTTAGTGTTGGTCTAGTATCTAGTTACTTCTTCCCTGGGAAAGAATGACAGGAAGCCAAGTAAGCAAGTGGGGGAGACTGGGTATTTTATTCACTTTGTTATTTTTAGTACAAAAGCAAAATATCTACACTTCATGACTAAAAAGAATCGGTTGTAACCTCCAGCCCTCGTCTAGATGCTCCTTGGCTTTCTGGCCAATACTGACAGTGAATGGAAATATTCAACATAGTTGCTTCACGGGCATATCATAAAGGACTATAAATATAGAGTTGTCGAAGTGTGCTTTGATTATCATATGCACAGCAGGAACCTAAATGTTGTCCATAGTAAATGAGAAACGATATTCTGGGGGCGTAGAAGGCACCTTGCCCAGGACGGGAGCTGAGAAGGTGAGGGTCAGGGAATGAAGAGATTTAAGAATGGTTTGGGTAGGAAGTGACCCTCTGCTGATCATCCTTCATTTGGGGTTGCAGTCTTGAAGTGGATGAACCCCTGCTGAAGAGGGGAGAGGGACAAGGAAGGACTTGAGCAAAAGGAAGAGAGAATGAAGTGGAAAGGCTTTGAGCCAGGTTTACAACTGAGATAAGAAAACCAGCTAATACGGATATCCCCAGGGGCAGGGGGGGACTAGGAGATGCTTGTCAGGAAAACCAGAATTGCATTGAACATTGCTGACTAGTCAATGAAGGTGACCTGGGGTGAACCATGTAGCCTGTAGTCATCAATATGGAGGTCAAGGACAAACTGAGGAAGAGGTTTCCATCCAGCAGTGGGGAAGTAGACGTGTATGGGGGGGGGGGCGGGGGAGAAACAGGGATGGCTTCTGTAGACTGCACTTTGGAAAAGCTTTGTGGTACCAGGGGAGGGAGTGGAGTTTATGAGCACCCGGGGAGAAGCAGCTGTACAGCCAGGTGGACTCAGAGAAGACCAGGGTATGTATGGTCCTCAGGCTCAGGCTGAGGCAGGTAACAGTCAGATGCAGGCATGCATCCGTCTTGGATGAGACGTAGAACAAACCACTGACTGGTAACTTCTCCCAGCCCCTGCAAAGAGTTAGCAGAGGAGGTCAGATCTGGCTGTGGGTATGTGCAGGGCAAGGCTGGGGAGCATGTTAAGGCTTGCATGAATTAGGCCAGAGAGGAGGAAGTTCAAATGACCTGGGAACAGGAATTCTGGGAGGTGGGCAGCTGAGCATGGCGGTGATGCCCTCGGAGCATCCCACTTACTGCATATGGGCTCTGCCCTGTCACTTAGGTCTTGCTCAGGGTCATTTAGGTCTTGCTCAGGGGCAGGTCAACTTGGGGTCTAGGTCCAGCAGCTTCAGGTCATGTGAATGTCCCCTGGGATTCTAGAACACAATCCGCAGACCCTGAAATTGCTGAAGGTTTTTAACTGATAAAGTTTTTTAAATGACAGAAGAAATACAAATCAAATAATTTCATGTATAAAAAGCCAAGTATGAAAATTTCAACTATACTATGATTTTAGACACAATAAAACACTATGTAAGTAGAGAAGAATGAAGTTGATTAAGTCAACTATTGACAGCTGTTGCCTCTAAGTGGTGGGATTACAGGTAGGACTGGCTTCCTGTTTGTGTGATCCTGTGGGTACACAGGCCTTGCATGGAGGAGTCCTGGCTTTAGCCTAAGGCTATGTTCTTGATTTATTGGAATTATTGATTAAGTTTTGAACCAGAAACTCTATTCTCTTTCCTTATTGCACCCCACAGATTATATTTCTGGTTCTGATAACTATTTATTTTATTCCTTTTCATAATTTTCATTTGTGTGTGCATGTGTGGAGAGTTGCACATTTGTTTGGGTGTACGTATGTGCATGTCAGGCAAGCAGAGGTTAGCAGTGGTAGTCTGTCTCAGGCTCTGTTCCCCTGTTTTTTAAGACAAAAATTCTCACTGACTTGGAGCTCACCAAGTAGTCATGGCTGGCGGCCAGCAACCCTCAGAAACCACCCATGCACTCCCCAGTGCTGGGATGAAGAGTGTGTGCCTCCACGCCCAGGCTTTTCCATGTGGGTTCTGGAGACCTGCCTGAGGTCCTCAGGCTTTCTGTGACTGAGCTCTCTCCCCAGCCCTCATTTTCATTTTTTAGATTATATATATATATGAATGAAGTAGGGGGATGGAGACATGGCTCAGTGGTTAAGAGAACCGGTTGCTCTTCCAGAGGACCCAGATTTAACTCCCAGCACCCACATGGCACCTTACAACTGTCTGTAACTCTAGTTCCAGGGGATCTGGCATCCTCACACAGACATATATGCAGGTAAAACGGCAATGCACATAAAATAAAAATAAATTATTAAAAAATAGGTGCTGTGGGATGTTCTGTATGGCAAATGTGTTGCTCTGATTGGTTAATAAATAAAACACTGATTGGCCAGTGGCTAGGCAGGAAGTATAGGTGGGACTAACAGAGAGGAGAAAAGAAAGAACAGGAAGGCAAAAGGGAGACACTGCCAGCCGCCACCATGACAAGAAGCATGTGAAGATGCCGGTAAGCCACGAGCCATGTGGCAAGGTATAGATTTATGGAAATGGATTAATTTAAGGTATAAGAACAGTTAGCAAGAAGCCTGCCACAGCCATACAGTTTGTAAGCAATATAAGTCTCTGTGTTTACTTGGTTGGGTCTGAGCAGCTGTGGGACTGGCAGGTAAGAGAGATTTGTCCTGACTGTGGGCAAGGCAGGAAAACTCTAGCTACAAATAGGAATGAAGCTATTTTATAAAAATCTAGTTAAGTGGTTAACAGTTCATTGCATGTCCATTTCAGCTCTGATTGCTCTTTTGCTCTTGACATGCCATATCTCACTGCTTTGGGGAAGTGCATGGAGGAAGGAAGGGAGGGGAAGGACCCTTGAAAAGTGGCTTCAACAGGTATGGTGGCACACACCTGTAAGCCCAGAATTTGGGAGACAGAGCCAGGAAATTTAAGCTTGAGACCAGCTTAATCTACATAGTAAGTTCCAGGCCAGCCTGGACTGCCCACTTGCCCTGGACCTTTATCCTCCTAAATACCATGGAGCTTTTCTACATGATGTCGCAGTGGCAGTCCATGCAACCGAACCCAGGCCTCACAGTCCCACTGGCTTTCCCGTTCATATATAATATCCCCTGTGCCAGGAATCACCCATGAGTACTCACTTTCCTTCTTGGTGCTGAAGCTGGTCCACCCAGAAGCTGTGCTGCCCGCCTCATTGTGGGCCACCACTTGTACCCTGTAGGTAGTGTAAGGCTGCAGCCCCACCAGGCTGGCTCTGTGCCCAGGGCCCCGGTACTCGGTCTCTGTGTGGCTGGGAGGGCAGAGTGGGGCTGGATCAGGAGGACAAGGCCGCTGCAGCTGCAGTTCATAGCTGGAAAGAAGGCAGTGGGAAAGAAGACAGGCAGTGGATCTGTTTACATGTCACTTTCCCGTCTTTTTTCTTGATTGAGTTTTGATTTTTCAAAACAGAGTTTCGCTGTGTAACTTTGGAGCCTGTCCTGGAACTTGGTCTGTAGACCAGGCTGGCCTCGATCTCTGTCACTTTTCAAAGTTGCTTATATATTTTGGGGAGAAGACATTTTGCGAACTCTCTAAAAATTCCATTTCAGGGAACTGCTTCCAGAGACCCTGCATTGATACCGCAGGGAATGAAAAGTGAAGTTATATAGAAGATGAGTGGAGATGCCTCATGTACAGGTGTGGACAGCCACCCAGAAGGCAGTCTGAGTGTGGGTGTGTGGTACATATGCACATGCAGGTGTAGACACATCTGTGTGCAGACCAGAGGATTAAGCTTTATTTTTTATGTGTATGGGTGTTATGTCTGCATGTATGCCTGCATACCATATGCATGTAGTGCCTGCAGAGGCCAGAAGAGGGCGTAAGAACCATGGAAACTGGAGTTACAAATGATTGTGAACTATCATGCGGGTGTTGGGAATTGAACCCAGGTCTTCAGAGAGTAGCCAGTGCTCTTCACTGCTGAGCCACCTCTCCAGCCCCATCTCCACCTTAATTTTTTGAGACAAGGTCTCTCAATGGTCTGGAGTTGCCAAGGAGATTAGGTTGACTGTCCAGGGAGCCCCAGGGCTCTAATTACCTCTGCCACCTTAGCATTGGAGTATCTAAGGGTGTGGGTTTTTATATGGGTTCTGGGGATCAAACATGGGGTCCCATACTTGCATGGCAAGCATTCTGCCAATTGAGCCACTTCTCCAGCCTCAATGAGTAGTTGTTTCCATTGATGAAGAATAAAGGAAATTCCCTTTCCTCCTGATTACTCTGAATGAAGACTGTTTTTTGAGATACTGACCCTCCTGACTTTTTAACTTAGGACAGGGCAATTCCCAGCTAACCACAGAGATCTCTCTTGCTCCAGCTGAGGTCAGCAGAGCCCATGGTTCCAGAGAACCCCCAGGGGAGGGTCTCCTTTTAGTGACCGCAGACAATGCATTGTCTCTCTTGCTTCCAGACCTCTCATTGCTCACTTTGCTCTCAGCTGGTTTTACGGCTCAAACACTTTTCAAGTAACACAACTGCTCAAATGGATGTTTTGTTCTGACTGCATCTATTTTGTAAGCATTTGGGGACTGCTGGCTGGTCACATGCCTCTGTACCATGTCTCTTTTGGCTCACTCATCGGTTCCACTGACCTGTGAATGACACCATTAGGGAGCTGAGGAGGTGTCCACTGGAGGGAGGCCATCCTTGAGCCCAGTGTCTGGAGCTGGGGTGGAGACAGCCCTGAGGGTGGGGCAGGGTGGGTCCTCAGCTCGGCTGTTGGTCCTCTGCTGCAGCAATTGAAGCAGGTGCAGGCCTCAACCCCGACGGCATACGTGGTGAAGGGTCTCAGGTCATGAAGGGTCTGCTGGGTGGCCATGCCTTCAGACAGCTGCAGGAGAGAGGAGCGGATGAGACAGTGTCACAGGTCAGAGATGGTGTGCCTCCTTCTCTGAGAGGAACTCCACACTAGGTACTCTGGGAGAAGTCACAAGGCACTCGGCAGAGTGGGAACTCTTAGAATGGCCAATCCCCTTGGAGAGGTGTTTACAATATAAGAGTCTGGTAAAAGTTAGATGCAACAGGAAAGAGGTAACAAGGTAGAATCTCTCTTCCCTAACCTTAGGAATGTACTAGAAAATGGATCCAAATACACAAAATATGGGCTGAATTCAATGACTTTCAGAAAGACTCCTTTACAACACAATGAACCAAAAACTTCATAATCCGTATTTGAATTAGGTTTTTACCACTAAATTTCACATTCTGCTGCACTAACTTGCATGGAACTTGTGCATCTAAACTGCCCTGGCACCCATGTCAGGGGCGGGTGCAAACATGTTTGGGCGGGTGCAAACATGTTTGGGCGGGTGCAAACATGTTTGTTTGCAGCGTCCCTTCCTCGAGGAGGGCTGTTTTTGCAATGTCCCTTGTCTCTGTAGGACGACAAACTCCTGATTTCTGTGGAGCAAACTTTGGATGCCATTTGGAAAAGACACGTTAGAAGTAGAAATTCTTTTCCACATAGACATAAGTAACACAATTAAGGAGCTACCTGTTATTTTTTAAAATGCATACAATGCACTCCAAATAGAAATTATTTGGGTTTATTAATATTATCATTTTATAAGCATGGATAATCAAGGGCTGATTGTATTTACATCATCTATATTTATTGAATACGAAGCCCTGTAGAAAATATGCTAATATTCCTTTAGCATTCACTAGGAGCCTTGCCTGCATGTGAGTCTTCTTTGGGAATTGTGTTTCAACACTGGGTATGCTGGCCTCAGAGGATTTCTCCACACTTGCCCAAATCGTTCCCTAAATTGGTCTAAATAATTCATGATATAATACTGGGCTCCGCACAATCTCTCTATAAGCTTATGTGAACAAAGTCTCCACCTACTCATGAGCCACAAAGGAGAGACCCAAGCCATGCCACAGAGGCAAGAGACAAGAGTGGAGACGAGGTGGCTCAGTCTGTCACCTGCACAGTGTGGGTGACAGCTTGGCAGTGGTTCCTAGCTGTAAGGAACATTACATATTCGTCTGTCCCGTCAAATGCTGACAATTTTCTGTTTATGACAGGGAATTAAAATATTTGTATCTTCCTTACTTTGTAAAACCTTTATGTAAATATTTTCATGCCCCCCGCCCAGAAAAACTTTCATTTACTACCCCTGCCCCATTCTGTGAATTTCAGGGACTTAAGCAGCATATCCTTTCTAGTTCCCTTTCATTTCCTTTAAAACTAGCCAATCTCAGCCGGGCGGTGGTGGCGCACGCCTTTAATCCCAGCACTCGGGAGGCAGAGCCAGGCGGATCTCTGTGAGTTCGAGGCCAGCCTGGTCTCCAAAGTGAGTTCCAGGAAAGGCGCAAAGCTACACAGAGAAACCCTGTCTCGAAAAACCAAAAAAAAAAAAAAAAAAAAAAAACTAGCCAATCTCAAAACACTCTAAGGTCAGACTCCAGCCAATGGGGAAAGACACAGCCACCACCGCATAAGAATAAACACCAAATAAACTTCCTGTCCGTGTCCCAGTGTGCTTCCTAGCTGGGTTTGGGTCTTGGTGCCCCCTTTTTACAAAAGCAATCCCCTCGCCAAGCTACTTTGGCCTTATTGCCGTGTTCCAATTTACAACACTAATGCCATTCTTTGTTTCCGGCATGGCTTCCCTCTCAACAGGCATGGTTACAACCTGCTGTCATAAGATCCCACCATGCTCTCTTCTGTCCCCTGACTTTCCTCAAATGTGTTAACGACAGCTGTGGAGACAGCTGTGCCCAGTGGTTCTGCCTCTTCTGAGCAGGTGGAACTTTCTTGAATTCACCTTCACCAACAGAGACTGGATTTTCCTTTTGTTAGAGATCTGTGTGTGTCAAAACTGAGGTTCCCGGAACAATCTTTGCTTCATCTTTTCTTTTTCATATTAACATTTACTCCTCATCATGTATACATGCCACCATTCTTCAAGTACCTGGCCTCTTTTTTTCTAAGTTAAATTAATTTGTATATGTGTAAATTCTTAGGTTTCTCACGTCTCTGGAATCTTCAGTACCACCCCTGCCCCTTGTCCCAGTTCAGATGTTTTCTCTTTCCTAAAAGCTCAGTCTTTCAGAAGGACCTTCTGTTGACCATAGGGCAATGAGAGTACACGCAGAAGAGAGGATGCAGGAGGGCAGAGCCAGGGCACAGAGGCGGTGGCTTTTAGAAAGAGCCCTGCTAAGTGTCAGCTCTTTGCACTGTGTGCTCACCACAACGTGGGTCCTGCTGGAGTTGGAGAACAGCCGGTAGAGGCTGATGTTCCCATTGGGTCTCTCGGGTGTGCTGATGTTGACCACCGCTTGGGTGGAGGAGACAGTGTGGAATGTGGGCACTTTGAGACCTTCTGGTGGGGCTGGTCCAGTTCTACACCGAGTCCAGTTACTTGGGGCTTTTCCTGCAGAATTCACTGCCCATACCTTCAAAAAGAATCAACAAGACCAATCAAAACCAAGGTACCCTCACACTGGAAAAGAATATCAGGCGTGGGCTTAGAAGTACACACCTTTAATCCTAGCACCCGGGGATCAGAGGCAGGTAGATCTCTGTGAGTTCAAGGCCAGTCTGGTCTACAGAGTGAGTTCCAGACTAACCAGGGCTAGAGCGTCTCAATAAAAAGTAAAAATAGATAAAAAAAAATCAGCTACCAAACCAGCCGAAAACAATAGACTAGGATGAATTTTGATCTTTCAACTTTGTAATTGTGAAGGATCACAGAACAAGAGGGGAGCACAGGTAGACTGCAGCTGGCTGAAATGCGCCCCTCTGCCTTTGTGGGGCAGCGGAGTGGTTTCTTCATCAGGTCCTTCAGACTGGATGGATCCCCAGACTCCATAAAACTCAGCAATTCTTAAACACTGTCTCCATTAAATCTGCATGAAAATCAAATTTCCTTTCATCAAGGAGGGGATAAACATATGGGGAGATGTATAATCTTATTTATCAAGAACCATTTGTATAATTAAACACGAATATCCTAAAAGGTCGCCTTGGGTTGCCATTTGCATGAGTAAGTAATTTGTAGAATGTCAGGTACAATAGACCAGGTGGATGGATGTGTGAGCATATAGGGTTAAATTAGGCCCAATAACAGCCGAGCACACAGTGATCAATCAGAATGATAGATGGCAATGGCAACACAAGAAGACTGTGTCTCCACGTGGTATTCCTCACTCAGCTCTCAGGTGCAACTGCAACTTTGGGGAATTTTTTTTCTCGTTGGTTATCTCTTACTGTTTATTAAAAAATAAATTTCCATGGACCTTTAAAGACAAGTGTGGAAGCTTGCTTGAGTTTGTATGGACTCTCTCCAGGTGTGCAGGATCGGGAGGCAGGGCTGAATGTTTAAAAACAAGCTATGTTGGAAAAGAGCTGGGACACTCTGAAGTGAGAGTTCCGTCCTGTTTGTTCTTACATCAGTACACCTTCTGGAGAAGAAACACCTCGGCAGGCTTTTAACAGCGAGGCCAAGTCCTATCAGTGTTTGTGTTTCTTTTGGGGCAGATGCCTTTGTGAGAGCAAACTTCTGAGGGTGAGCTGCTGTCAAATGTAAATCTCCAGCCCCTTGCCAATAGGGTTGCCAGCAGCGGCCTTTTCAAAAGAGAAAGCCAACCTGCTTCCCGGTGGAACCAGCTCTTTAAAGAGTGCACCGTCTCTCCTTATTTGCATATAGTCACATTTTTTACAAACTGTTTTTTTTTTCAAAGCACTTTAAAATATTTTATGTTGTGTATGTGTGTGTACCACAAATGGTTTTGTAGGTGAGGGCTAAAATTGTACCCTTTCTGGTAAGCCAAGCTTTGGGTTCTGTAGGTTGTGGTTATGTGTAAATAAGATACCAAGGGTCTGAAGGTCGAGATTAGGTCAGGTTCCTCAATGTGCAAGGTGGAAGACACGTTGAGTGAATTGTCTCAGCTGAGCAGGGTCCCTGATGGACTGGGGAGTGAGGAACAGGAGACCGTCTCCATGATACCGGGGTGTCTGCAAGCTAGTGTCCACATCGGAGTACCACCCAAGCTGCTCTTGTGCCCTCTGGAGAGGCCAAGGTCAGTCTTACAGGGGGTAGGATACTAGGTTATCGATGAAGAGATCAGATGTCGAGTCCCAAGAGGGAGGGTGCCTGGCTCAGGGACCTGGAGACAAGCAGCTTTAACTACAGCCTTCCAGGGATGGAATGGAGGGGACTTTCACAGTGACAAGATTTGAAAAGACAACATTCTAGGAAAGATGTAAAATAGAGTACAAAGGTCAATATCAGATTCCCTGCCAGGAACCGGCTCTTGGCAATTTACAGGCATGCTGATATTAATCAGGGTCACGAGAAGGAAGCCTGTGGAAGGTGGTTTGATATCAGAGAAATCCAACAAATAAGTACTGAGTGCCTCTTCAGACAGCTGCCGCGAGGGTGGGGAGCTGTGGAGAGATGCACTAAAGGGAGGTCCCTAAAGGAAGTACAGGGGACGGTCCAGCCCAGGGCTGAGAGCATTCACTTCTCTTCCTTGAGTATTAAATTTTAAAGTTAAAACACAAGTGAGCTTCATTATGGCGTGTGCATACCTATATGTTATTACTTTTTGTTTTGATCTGTGCGTTTCCACCCACTGCCCTTCCCTGCCCTCCTTTCTTCTCGCTGGGCTCCTGACTCCCTCCATCTCACACGTACTCCATCACTCCCTTGTTCTCCCTCCCATCGTTCTCTAGGATCTCTTCGTGTCCGACTAGGGTCCTTATTCTACTTCCCTGTTTCTACAAGTACACACACGTAAACACATGTACACACAAGTATACTCATACACGCATGCACACACAAAGTCTAGATTCCACATATGAGGACAACATGCACTATTTGCCTTTCTGAGTCCGACTCATTTTGCTTAACACAATGATGTTCTGCTATGTCCATTTTCCTGCAGACATCGTAATTTCTTTCCTCTAGATAGCTGAATAACATTCCAGTGTATATGGACCACATTTTCTTTGTCCATTTATCTACTGATGGACATCTAGGCTAATTCCATACACAGGCTACTGTGAGCAGTATAGCAGGAATCCTGGCTGTGAAAGTAACTCTGTGGATATTTATTGGCTCAGAGTCCTTTGGGTATGTGACCAGAAGTGGCTCATCATGCTCCATGTCAATGCAGCGTGGGATTGGGAGGCTGCTTCTGGAGTTAGCGCTAGTCTTCATGTCTTCCTGTGCCGAAGGATTTGATCAGGTGCAGTCTTATTTAAAAGATGTGATATAGTCTAATAATTTTATTATTTTTAATTGTACATGTCTATTTGTCAGTGTGTAGATATGTGCACATGACTGCAGCTTCCTGAGGAGGCCAGAAGAGGGCACCACCTGCCCTGGAGCTGGAGTTGGAGGTAGCCATGCGCTTCCCTGTGTGGATGCTGGGAGCCAAACTCAGGTTGTCTTTCCAGTGCTCAGTCCATTGTATTTGAAAACAAGTGGGCCTCAGTGTATAGGCTTTAGTGTATTTGGGAATATTATCTTCTAAAATATAGATGATATAAAATCCTTGTCCTAGCAGGGAATGTACGTAGGACCTAGTATTCTCTCTTGTCTTTGACAAGAGACCTTCATACACATTGCTCTTTTTCCCCTAGACTTCCTTTTTAGTATTCAATCAATTTGAGATCAAAATAGCATTCATATAAATCAACATGCTTATGCAAAGCAGGATCAGCCTATTTACATGAGCTACAGTGAAAATGAAAATGGTTACAGTGAGGAGAAAGCTGACAGATGCTGAAGCATGGTGGGTCTCACAGGCAGGAAAGGTACCTATGTGTGTCATACCAAAGACCGAAAGAAAAAGACAGAGACTCTCTGTGATGGTGGCTTTTCTCGGTCTCTGTGCTCTGCCCCCCTTCCCCCTTCCCCCTTCCATGCCCACTACCTGTTAAAAAAAAGTCTATATCAAAAATTCATTATCATTTTTATCTGTGCCCAGCTAAGCAAGGCATGGACTGAAGTATGTTCTGGGTTCATAATTAAAATATTAACCCATATTATGTGTATGGTTTCTTTTTAGAAATAATTACCAAATTTGGTAACATTTGACAGGGTAGCATTATGGCTTGGATTAAGTGTCCACCAGAAGTTCACTGTTGAAGGCTTGTCTCCCACACACCCATCCTCACAGGTGGCAGCTTTGGGAAGTGGCTGGATCAACTCACTTAGGGATTTGGAACTTAATGGGATATTGGAAAGTTTTGGAGTTGAGACCTAGCCAGAAGAAAGTGGTCACTGGGGCGTGTCATTGAGGGTCCATTTTGTCCTGGCCCCTTGCCACTCCCTCTCTTAGTTGGGGCTGTCATGAGGTGAGCAGCTTGCTCCACTGTGGTCTTCTCACCACAGTGCTGTGTTTTCCCACAGGCCCAGAAACAATGGAACTCAGTGGTCATGGCCTGGGACCTCTGAAACAGCCAAAGGAAATATCCCCTCCTTGAGTTAACTCAACCATTTGTTGTAGTGGCAGGAAGCTCATTAACATGGACAGAAGAAGATGGAGAAAATATGGACAGGAAATGTCGAATAGTGTATTAGTGTGATTTTTGCTTTTCATCCTAGGAGACAAATTTAGGACCTCATGCATGCTAGGTAGATATTCCACTACAGAACTGCATTCTCCAGTTCCCGGCCTTTGAATTTTAACAGATCAATATAAAAACCAGAAATCAAGTACCTTCTGAACAGACATGGAGTTGCCTACTATGAATTCTATGATCAAGAGAGGGGGAAAAAGCTGTACACCCAGGGCATCTCCTAAACCTACTTGCCCAATAAACAAATTGAGGATGGTTAAAAAGGCTCCTTATTTACATTTGATAACACTTTACATGTGTGCATGTAGTTGAGACAGCACCACACATTACAATTCAGAACTTCTCAGTAGGGAACTGTTAAAAAGGTAAGAAAGTCAGGATGAATCATGTTAGGTTTTTTTTTTTTTTGTTGTTGTTGTTTTGTTTTGATTTTTATGTTTCTGTTGTAACAATGGAAAGTGTTACAGTAAAGATGAAACTACAAATACTTTTAATAAATATAAAGTAACTGAAATGCTTAACCATGGATTCTGTGCTTGGCAGCCATCAGTATATTAAGAATGTCAGCTCGATTTGCTACTGAGATATACACACATTGCTGTTTTCAGTGCAATATGTATTTAATCTAACTACTGATGGGTATCATCTTTTTGCTTGTTGTCCATTAAAAATATAAAGCTGTTCTTTAATTTACTCATTTCCCTCAAAGACTAATTACTGTGTCTTTCCTTAAATAATTTTAATTACATGAAGTGTGAACACCTGCCACTAAGCTGCCACACCTGGACAGCTGTAGCAACTGTAAGTACTCTTTGGAGACAGAGATTGTCTTTGAGCAGAGTGTGTCAGGAGGGGATCCTGGACT